GCAAAGACAACTTAATGACGGTCGACACTTGACTGTAAACGACTCGAGGCGGAAAAATTACACTCCAATAACAAAATCTGTAAAATTTCCACAATAACCAAACTCCATGTCATATATACGTGGTGATATTTCTAGAGCTTCCCGAGTCTACACTGAACTTGTTGTGGTCAAGGCAAGGCCAGGCCAGGCCAGGCCAGGCAAGGGTTAGGGTTAGGTTACGTCAGGTTATGTAAGTTAGGTTAAGTACAGGTAGAGGTTTATTTTCCTTGTTTGTGTAATGTAAAACGTAGGTCTGGGAGAAGTTTTATACACAGTAAAAAATGGGATTCATAATTAAAACGTTTTCTTTACTGCACTTCACAACAGAAAATGGTTAGTTTCTGTGTTATTTTAGGAAGGACTTGTGAGAAGCTTGGTGATAGGGGATTAATCCTCAGGTGATCTGTCTTGGTAATTTAAACAAAGAAATATCTATGTATGTTGGTCTTCCAGGTAATCAACCTTACTAATCAGTGGTAGTCATGGTAACATCACCTACCTTACATCATGGTGGTTTTACCTAAATTATGGTTTAAAACTCATTACCAGCCTGAAGAAGGGGGTTAACAGCGCCCCCACCACCCAGAACCGTCAGGAGGGCTGGGTGACCTGGAGGAGGAGGGGTGGGCGGCCGTGGTGGTGGGCGGGCAGGGGGCAGTGAGGACACGTGCACCAGCCTCAGTACACGTGTCCTCAGCCTCTCGCGCCACCTATCCTTCCTCCCTTCCCTCCCTCCCTCCTACCCTCTCCACCTGCCTCCTCCCCCCCTCGCTATCCGCCTCTCCTATCCCTCCCTCCCTCTCCCATCCCCCCTCCCCCTCACACAAGTACAACCACTATGCTGTCTCTCTCACAACATAAATCCTCCAGTCATAGTCAAGCTTTACCAGTTACGTCATCACACACACACAATGAACCCTCCCTATCACCATAAAACCTAATATGGCTCCCCCACTCCCAGGTTCTACCATCACCACTCACCTACTCACCATCACCACTCACCTACTCACCATCACCACTCACCTACTCACCATCACCACTCACCTACTCACCATCACCACTCACCTACTCCTATCCACCATCACCACTCACGCCATCACCACTCACCTACTCACCATCACCACTCACCATCACCACTCACCCACTCACCATCACCACTCACCTACTCACCATCACCATCACCACTCACCATCACCACTCACCTACTCCCTGTCACCACTCACCCACACTCCCATCACCACTCACCTACTCACCATCACCATCACCACTCACCATCACCACTCCACCCTCACCATCACCACTCACCTACTCACCATCCACCATCACCACTCACCATCACCACTCACCCCTCTCACCATCACCCACTCACCCTCACCATCACCACTCACCTACTCACCATCACCACTCACCATCACCACTCACCCCTCACCATCACCACTCCACCTCTCACCATCACCATCACCACTCACCATCACCACTCACCTACTCACCATCACCACTCACCTCACCATCACCCCCCCACTCACCTCTCACCATCACCCTCCACCATCACCACTCACCCACTCCACCATCACCACTCACCCACTCACCATCACCACTCACCTACTCACCATCACCATCACCACTCACCTAACTAACACACACTTCACGACCCGGTTTATTTTTTCCCAAGCACAGAGTGGACGCCGCTAAAGGCACTCCACTGTCCACTCATCAAACGTTCAGACCTGCAAAAAAAATTACGAAAAGAGACGAAAAATTAAGACAAAAACTAGTGAACGTCGTTGTCTCCTGGATAATTAAAAAAAAACGCCCAGAAAAATTCTAATCCAGCCCCCAAATGACGTAATAATCACCCCCACCTGAATAAATCAATTAAGATAGAAATTCCGAGATTACGCACGGCAGCCTGTCGACCCAAAGTCTTCTACACGCAGGTAACTCTCCAATGATTCAGGTGAGACACAGCTTCCCCACACTAAACTGGCGACCAATCAACTTGTTAATGTACCATACAGGTGAGGTACAGTAAAGGTGTTCCTGAAGCAGTGTATGTCGGCTTGGTTCTTCCTACAACCTAACCTAACCCTTGAAAGCTCACTGGTACGAGGGTTAGGTAGTGTGTGCCTCCTTCTCAGCTTCCAATGACTGAAGGAGATGGGGGTGAAAGAAAGGGAGGAAGTGAGGAGGGAGTGCTGAAGGGGGATGGAGGGCCAATGGAGTGGGGGGTGGGAGAGGGGAGTGGGGGGTAGAGGAGGTGAGGTGGTAGGAGGATGGGGAGGCCTCATACCCCTCCTCTTCCTCCTCCTACAAGCCTGGTGTATCTAGTGACGTGGGAGGCCATGGCCGTCTTTTATGGCCACTTCAACACAGAGGAACAACAAACTTTCAGGCAGGTGTGGGAGCAGTGGGCGATACATACATACATACATACATACATACATACATACATACATACATACATACATACATACATACATACATACTCACAAAACACAAGCAAAGGAAGACAGTAGGACGAGAGAGACCCACCACCAGCTGTGTCCTGGACGAGTCAACAGAGCCACGAGGGCCTCACCACCACCTACAGCCTCCCCTCTACAGTGGTCACGCCCAGGTCTCCCTCGCCCACTACAGGTAACAAACGGGTCCCCCCCACAACAGTCTCTCTCTCTCTCTCTCTCTCTCTCTCTCTCTCTCTCTCTCTCGCAAACACCTGCCCCACACTTACTCTGCCGCACACCTTTCACACACCCTCACCCTGCCGCACACCTTTCACACACCCTCACCCTGTCCCACACCTTTCACACACCCTCACCCTGCCACACACCCACACCTTTCACACACCCTCACCCTGCCCCACACCTTTACTCTACTCCACACCTGTCACGCCATCACCACCACGCTAATGGACCCCTAATTAACACCGCTATCCAGGTAATTTAATTTTCCTCTTCATTTCCATTAAAACTCCAGTCATCATCATCATTAACAACTATATATTTTTTCTAACTTACACTAATGTTAAAAATATGTAAAATACTTGTAATATATTGGTGTTAGTTAACTTAATATACCTGTACTATAAAGGAGTTGCTCTATTATGAACCTTAAATAAATCCTCAGAAATAATTAAAACTCTGGAACATATAACAATCACGTTTCATAATAAAAACAATCACAACTATAACCAATATATAAGTGTTATGGTATATATGTTGCTAAGTCAATTATATACCAACAAACACAAGAGAGAATATATACAGACCTCTATATACCTCTCACCTAACTTAACCTAACCAAATGCCTGCCATGTATACCAGTAAGTGACTGTATATACCCGCCTCCTGTACACACACACTGCTCCGGGAACCATCGTCTTAAATTTAGCTTAATAAGACCGAGGACAGTGACCCGGTAGTTAATGTGTAATGTATCGGGCGGTGGGTGGGGTGTGTGTGTGTTGGCCGTGTTAGCTGTTGCATGGGAGTGCCTCCTCCCCTCACCTCTCCTCTCCCCTGACCTCACCCCTCCCCTCCCCTCCCCTCCCCTCACCTCTCCTCTCCTCTCCCCTCACTTCTCCTCTCCCCTCACCTCTCCTCGGCCTCTCCCCTCACCTCACCTCTCACTGCTCTCGGTATAACTGGATAATAATTTTGTTTACAGAGAGAACAGCGAGGCTCCTCTTACAGTGAGGTTGTAAAGACATTATCATCTCATCTAACCTTACAACCCCACATCTGCCAACCTTACAACCCCCATCCCTCCCTTATCACCCCTCCACCCACTTCCTAACCCATCCACCTACTTCCCAACCCCTTCATCCATTTCCCAACCCCACTCATACCTATCCTCCACTCCGCTCCACCCTAGACACACACACACACACACACCTAAGACTATGTAAACACTGTCCCCAGAAGCTCCGGCACCAATAAACGTGAGGATTAATACACAAGACGTCTTCTGACTGGCGGGGATACGTGTTTAAGTCTCATATATACGGACATCCAGGAGAGATACTCAAGATGTATATAACTCCTCCCTGTCTCCCTGCCTGTCTCCGTCTCCTTGCCTGTCTCCGTCTCCTTGCCTGTCTCCGTCTCCCTGCCTGTCTCCGTCTCCTTGTCTGTCTTCGTCTCCCTGTCTGTCTCCCTTTTATAAATAAGTTGAGGATATTGCATCACTTGAAGATTAGCCAACACTTCGGTCTAGTTTATTTCACCCTGACGCTAACTAGAGGGGTTAGGTTAGGTTGCGTTGTTTGGTTAGGTTAGCGTAAGGGTAATTAAAGGCGAAATAAGCTGGGGGAGAGGCAGGAGGAAATAGGAGGAAAAGAGGGAGGAAAGAATATCTCATATTGACACAGTTAAATCTACTCAGCCTCTTCACGCTAAGATGGTAGGGGGGAGGTGTGTGTGTGTGTGTGTGTGTGTGTGTGTGTGTGTGTGTGTGTGTGTGTGTGTGTGTGTGTGTCATGAGAATTGTGTGTAATGAGTGAGTGTGTGTGTGTATGTTAAATCATGGGTCTAGAGTCAATCACAGGTATTAAGACCACCACTCATATCCACTACTTACTCACCACCACCACCACCCCCACCACACACACAGCCCACCCCCACCACCACAACCACCCCCCAAAGCACTAACCTTCCAGGAATATTATCAACAATTGAGATATAATAACGAGTTCCCAGTAAGCGAGACACTCAGGTATGTGTGGCCTCGCTCAACTCTCGTTTATATTAACTTTAAGAATATATCCATTAGGTAAGTGAGGTGAATAATGACTAACAGACGCTGTTTTATGAGACGTATTAAGAATAATCCCATTGATGATGATGATGATGATGATGATGATAATAATAGCCACAATAACACACCCTCAACCCCCCCCTACACATACCCACAACCCCCCACCCGCACAACACCCCCTCCACGAGAGAAGCAACAACACTCACATTAATCATGGCGTTGGAGGATATCCTGAAGAGCGTGGCCCTCTCGTTCACCGTCTTGGTCTTCGCCGTCAGGTCGTGGGTGTTATCCAGGGCCTCCAACTCCCCCAGGGACTTCTGCAGCGCCGCGCCGTGTTTGATGATGAGGTCGTGACAGGTGCGCAGGTCCTCCAGCTTGGCCGTGAGCACCTTGAGGGTGTTGGACACGTCATCCACCCCTGCGTCACCCACGTCCTCCTCATCCTCGTCTTCTGTAACACGCGTAAAACAAAGGAGGGATAATAAAGAGGGGGGAGAGAACTGTTGTGTGTGTGTGAGAGAGAGAGAGAGAGGACTAATTACTGTAAGAACTTCACTAACAAGACTAAAGTTCAATATTTCCTAAGTACTTCAATCAGATCTTGACATCCAAAACGCTACCACTGTTCACCGCCACACAGGACAGGGGTTCATACACTAGAGACAACATAATAGGTCATAATAGGTTAAATAGGTCAAAGTAAGTCAAATTGGTAAAATTGGTCATAATTCATCAGCGTCATATTATAATTGAGGACTAATCAGTGTGGACTAGTACATTATAGTTATACACTGGTCTGTATAACCTCAATGACTCCTAATTCAATATAGGAGTTTTATAATACAGTTAGTGAGGTGGTGTGAAGTCTCTGATAGTGTCACCTTGAGAGACAGAGGAAGGAAAGCCGAGAATGATGCAGAAGTAAAATAAATTAAAAAAATCCCGAACGATACAGAGAGAAGAATGAGAGAATAAGAGAAAAATGAGAGAGAATAAGAGAGAAAGATGAGAGTGAATAGCAGAGAAAGAGAGAATGAAAGAGAATAACAGAGAATGAAAGAGTAGTAAGAGAAAACGTCCTCGCGTAAAGGGGACACTTAACAACACTGTGAATGAGTGACTTGTATACACACGGGCGAACTACAGTCCTATCCGACCCTAACTTAACCTAACCAATGAGAACTACTAAACTACCATGACTAACAACCACCACGATCAAAGAACAACCTGAAGATTAACAACCTCTTTTAAATCATTTCACCTGATAATTAAACATAGATTATTCTGTTGTTGATTTAAAACCCAGAATAAAAACAATGACTAAAGTATAAACAAGAATAATAAAAACAACAACACCAAAAAAATAATAATAATAATATTAATAATAATAATAATAATAATAATAATAATAATAATAATAATGCAGTGTAATAACAACCTCGAATTAATAACTGTCTTGGAAGAGCAGGATATTACCATGATGGTCTTAGAAGGGCAGGATATTACCATGATGGTTCAGTACCTCCAGGTGATGCAATTAACTCCTTCAAACAGGTGATGAGAGAGCGGCTTACCTGCTCACAGATACCACAGCACTTGGACTTAACTAACACCTACACATATGAAATGCAAACAACTGCACAAGCAATAGAATTTATAATAATAATAATAATAATAATAATAATAATAAAAATGAAAAAATACTACTAATACTACTACTATATAACTACTACTACTACACTACTAATACTACTACTACTACTACTACTACTACTACTACTACTACTACTACTACTACTACTACTACTACTACTACTATACATGCAGGACGGGAGGGCGAAGCAGCATAAGTCACCATGCACAAGCTTCTGCCAGTATAATACAATATAAGCTATTCCGTGACGCAGCAGAAGTAGTGAGTGTTAGTGGGCTCTCTCTCTCTCTCTCTCTCTCTAAAATAACACATATATACAGTAACTTAACCATCAATAAACATCTTGCTAAAAAAAATGGTTTTCTTCCTCACAAAATCCTGAACACGTAGTAAAAGAATCAACTTATATTAACCCTGTATGTATGTATGTATGTATGTATGTATGTATGTATGTATGTATGTATCAATTCGCGGCTAAGCGTATGCAGATATGAGCGTATGTAAATGTATGCAAATGAACGAGCTGTGTCCACCATTCTACGCCCACCACAGCTCTCTCTCTCTCTCTCTCTCTCTCTCTCTCTCTCTCTCTCTCTCTCTCTCTCTCTCTCTCTCTCTCTCTCTCTCTGGTTAGTCTAGTGCTTCAGTGTATTAAGTTATTAGCAGAGGCTGTGTAACTGTCCCTCTCGCCTTCCCTCACTCCCACACATGAAATACATTCACTCATACAGAAACGCACCCTGTTATACATATTCATACAGAAACACACCCTCAACACACTCACTCGCTCATACATACGTACACACACACACACACACACACACACACACACACACAAAAAAAACACCACCAGACAATAACACATCGTGACAGGAGTGTGTGTGTGTGTGTGTGTGTGTGATAATTCTAAAAGGCTCCACCACAACATCGCAGGAAAGGAAGGAAAGAAAGAGGAAGGAAGGAAGGAAGGAAGGAAGGAAGGAAGGAAGGAAGGAAGGAGGAAGGGAGGGAAAGAAGGGAAGGAAGAAAAGGAAGGAAGGAAGAAAGGAAGGAAGGAAGGAAGGAAAGGAAGGAAGGAAGGAAGGAAGGAAGGAAGGAAGGAAGGAAGGAAGGTTACAGTTGGGTAATGCTCCCAGACGTCTGCCAACATCCGATCTACTATAAATAAAACCCTTAACATAATACCTGCCAACACCTGGTCTGCCCACCTGCCAACACCTGGTCTGCCCACCTGGTGTATTGCTCACATCTGACTCAACCCATTAAGTCAAACCTGGCTGTACATACATACATACATACATACATACATACGTCTTCATCACTAATATCATTATTGTCAGAAATGAAAATAACTTAAACAAAATAAAATATCCAGATTATTTACCAATTAATAGTATTGAGGGTGACAGGTGGACATAATTGGTGATGAAAATATTAACAAAGGTGGTAACGAGATGGGCGGACAGGTACAGAACACGACGAGGGAGTTATCGATGATGATGTCACGTTACACGAGGTCAGAGCTAACACGTGCTTCCGGGTATCGGTAAAGAGCGCGCACACACACACACACACCTGCCCTTCTGATATGCCTTTTATAATTACTATTTCATGAACATCAAAACTAAGTAAGAGGGAGGCAAAAAAATAGAGTGTGTGTGTGTGTGTGTGAGGTAGGGAGGGAGGGAGGAGAAGGGGGTGTCCAGGTGCGTGACGTTAGGAGTGTCAACATAACCCGAGGTGAGTAAACGAAACCTGGCAAGTGTACACCGTAGACTTTACCCCTCTCTCTCTCTCTCTTCCCCACCCTCACCTACACCTCTCCCCACTCACACCCCCTCTCCCTACCTACACTCCCTCCTCCCTTCCCAACTCCACTCCCCACTAAAGCACCAACACCCCTTCCCAAACTCCCCTCCCCACCAGTGTCAATCTTCTCCCCATCACCCCACTACCCTCACACCATCTCTCCTCCCCCTTCAGTCCACGGCGTCAATCAACTCCCCCACAATACCAACACGACACACCCTATTTCCTGCGTCACCCTGCATGGTCAACACCCTCCCAGCCTCCTCCCCCCACCTCTCTCCTCCTTCAACCCCTCACCTCACAGTCACCTTTAGTACCAGTATTCCTCCTCTTTCTCCCCTGAGCCCACCACATTTCCTAACCCCATCTCCCCAGATATTTCATAACCCCCTTCTCTTCTCCCCAAACTTTTACTCCCTTCCTTTAGTAGCATTTTTGCAGTTCCTCATGCCCTCCTTTAGTAACCCCCCCACTCTCCTCCTCCTCCTTACCCCTCCTGCCTCTCCAGTCACCCCCCCCTCCTGCCTTTAACCACCCCTCCCACCCCTACACCACACCCCTCCCTCCCTCTACCTCACAACACCCTCCCTCACCTTCCACATGAGCGGGTAGGGTCTGGTAACGACACACAACTGCTCTGGATAATTGGCAAACTTTTTTTTTTAATTCATTGAAGAGACAGCGAGCAGGCTGTAGCAAGCTGACCAATTACCCGTGTAGAGACGAACACATGGGGGGGTGAGGTGTGGGGAATAATACTAAATAGGTGGTGTGAATGTTCGTTAAAATCTGTAAAGACCAGTTGTGTACTGTATACACCTGTATATCCTTCCGAGACACCCTGTATACTCCGCCGTCTACAACACAGTTCTCGTAGTTTTCAAAATACAACACAAATACAAAACTATGCAGGTTAAAAGTTCCACACAGTCGTAGTTTAGTTACGTAAGGGTCAGTAGCGGTGGGTGACCTTAATGTTGTGATAGAAGCCCAATACAACACTACTACCTGTTAATGTGTACAGGTAAAGACGAGAAATGGGTTAGGAGGAGGAGGAGGAGGAGGAGCTCTCTCTCTCTCTCTCTCTCTCTCATTGGGGACACCTGCCACCTTCACACTATCTGCCACGTGACGACCTACATCCCTAGCAACACACACACACACACACACACACACTAGCCATAATAACTTCTCTCTTAATATCGTGAGGTGGTGGTCTTGCCAACAGTTCCCCTCTCTCCACCTCCCTCCTCCTGGCAGACACCTTGATGGAGTCAGACGTATAACTCTTCACTAGTGTCGAGTTCTTGGCCAATATGTCATCCACTCCTCTTCTCCTCCAAGTCTTTCACACAGCCTTCCATATCCACATTCGTCCAAAATTTTCTCATCTACACCTTCCTCTTACTCATCCTCCACCCTCCTCCACCCCACACTACACCCTCCTCACCACACTACACCCCTCCACACAGTGTCCCAGCCCCTCTCAGTGTGTTCATGTTACCCCCACACACACCCCTGGGATGAAGTGACTGGAGATAAGCTGTGATAAATAGTCCCACCTGCCTCACCCGAATTTACATAAACTAATGAAAATATTCTAATACAGCTTTTACACACACACACACACACAAAACACACACACTTTACACACACACACACACACACACACACACACACACACACACACACACACACACACACACACACACACACACACACACACAGGATTAATATGAATAATAAAAAAATGAATAACAATAAATAACTTCTATATATATACCGGTAACTTAAAATAACATTATGATAGGTTAGGTTAGGTTAGGTTAGCATAGGATAGGATAGGATAAGATAGGATAAGTTAATAACGAAGAGCATTTAGCTTTTTTATTCAATTCGTCCATTAATCAACACGGTTAATAAAATATAATAATAATAATCTCACGGTGACGTCACCTGGTAATGAGGTATTTTAATTAATTGATGGG